CTAACTGGTAATAAGAACTGAAAAATTTTTATTTTGTATTTTGTCCTGTTTCTTTTTGTCTTTTGAAACAACACTGGTGTTGAACTCTGATCCTCTTGCTTTCACCCCCCAAATACTAGAATTTCAGGCATCCGTCATTGTTCCTAACTTGTCTTGTTTCTTAAATAATGTTATCTGGTTCTAAAATACTATACTTCAGGTTGGGGGGTGTAGTTTAGCATCAGAGTGCTTGCCTACCATGCATGAGGAACTGGGTTCCATCCTAGCATCACTAAAAACTATATCTGTGTTTCAAATGTCTCTAAGCATAAGAATGGAAGTTGTCCGCCATAAATAGGACTTTTGGTGTTGTCGAACAATGGATTAGAATTTGTCACTTGTGTGGCTTTGAGAATGCCTCTTGATTAGGTTAAGTTTTGTCATCTAGAGGATGGGAATAATTGTTCCTGGGCTGAGGTCAAATAATAGGAATCAAGTGTAGAAAAGTACTCTTTAAGTTATTGTAACATGCAGACAAAGTTGAGACTCTCTAATTTACAAACTATCATACAAGTGTACATTAGTATGCATATATTGGTATTCTTGGCAACCATATTCTTGGTATATTGGTAACCATATATTGGTTACTGTGGTTCAGTAACTCCTTATGGAAAATGGGTTATCAGCCTTACCCTGAATAATGGGGGAATGTACATGAATAGATGAAAGTTGAATGCATTTTAAAGTATCCTAAGCCATGTACTGGAAGACTGCAATGATAGAATTCTGTCATTATTTAACTATCAGAATGTAACTTTCAACATATGAAGCCTGAATTCTCTCATAATTTGGTCCATCACTCAGAGAATGTTGTACCTCCATCCAAAACAACTGTCTGATATACCTATCATTTACTTCCTAACACAAGGTTTTAAAAAAAAGCAAACCTCTAATCTCCTTCAAAAATAGTATGTAAACAAGTGAAAAATTAAATGCAAAGGGGATAATTACCAGCCATAGATTAGTTTTCAAATCGTCCTTTTAACTTCTAAACTAATGAATACAGAAATACACTGTACTGCAAACCTGGGCGCCCTAGAAACTGATAATTAAAATATCTCTTTGTAAAGGATGTAACTCAGTAGGTAGAGTGATTCTCATTATTTATAATACTCATTAGTGTTAGAGAAAGAAGAAACGATTTCCAGAAAGGTACTATGCTGGGCATCTTACAAAGTTCTTTGAGAGGACTGCAGAAGGTCATTATAGAAAAAAACCCCACATCTTTGTAAAAATTATACTAGTCACTTTTGATTTTCAAACTTGTCATTTAGCAACTTTCTCTTTAAAATTTTAACTTATTTTTTATTTGGAATTTATTCTCAGTAATTTATTAGACACTATAGTTTAGATATAAACACCTTCCAAAGGCTCATGTATTAAATGTTAATCCCCATGGTAGAACTACTGAGAGTATTCTGGACGTAAAGATTATTGGGATGTTCTTACTTAAATCATTGGAAAAATGTCCTTTTTGGGATTGTGAGACTCTAGCCTCTTTCCTTTTGTCTTACCCTCTTTTCTTGGATATGAGGTAAGAAGTTGTGCTTGGTTGTATCCTCTCTTTAATGATGTGTTCCTTACTGTGGGGACCTAAAAGCCCCACCTTGCATAGGTCCTAAAGGAAGTTACTGGGGGCGTGTCCTGGCTTGCTTTGAAAGTCTGAAGAATACTTCCGCACTGCCGAAGAGTGCATGATCAACGAGTGACCATCCTTAAGATACACCCTCAGGGCGGGAGGGGGGAGTTCCAGGTGCTTTTATAAGCTTTGGAACACTTGCAATAAATGAGTCCCTGCTTGACTAGGCTCCCCGTTGTGTCTGAGTGTCTCCAGGGAATGGGGGCGGCATGGACTGGCGAATGGCATGCTTACTCATCCCCAATCCTCACCTCGCCGGGGGTCGCGGGTTCGAACCCCCGGCACCTTACAACTACCTCAAAGAACTAAGGTCAAGATAAATGGAGTACAGCCTCCAATACAGAACCAAAGCAGACCTTTACATTCATATATCTATTATGTCAGGTATTTTGTTATAAAAATATAAATCTAAAACAGGGATAGAAAAGTAAGACATGAAAAGAGAAAATTATAAACAGCATGTTAATTCGTTTGTCATGATTATAAACCTACTCTTAACTGAGAGTTGTTTCTTGAGTTATCGCTCTCTTGGGCACACTGTCCTGCCCAATAAAAAGGTGTCTCTTATCAAAGCCTTGAGGCAGAGAACTGTTAGTGTTCATAAAAACCTGACTTTAGCACATTTAGGTGAATGACAAGATTAAAGGGTTGGCTCTTAAGATTTAACAGCTGACGTTATTAAACCAGTATAAACCTTAAATTGACACTTGTCTGTCCCACACAAATGTTAAGTGAAACTAATGATAATCCTGAAAGTAGAGTCAGCAGATGTTCCACAGCCTCTAACCAGCAGACCTCAGACTTGAGTTTCTACTTACTGAAAGTATCTGTAGAAAGTATTCGAACCCCTGCTCCAGAATCCAAACAGGGGGAAAAAATATATAGATAATTAAGAAAAGTCTGACATATAATTTCATAAATTCATAATCCATGTCTTAAAAACTCCATTTCTTTAGCAGATTTTTTTTTCTTTAGTTTTGACTACAAGCATCCGGGTCACCTTAACTGAATCCATTGTACATATTTATGGCCACGTTGGAAAATAGAAGCCATGATATAATATGAAGAATTGTCTTAACAACAGAAAGGACTTGGGCAAACTATATGAAATTAACTCAGAATCTAGGGTGTGAACCAAACTGCTGGTCTTTCTTCCTGTCTGACCCAGTTCCTGGGTTCTAAAGGCCACATTGATGCTGCTTTCTGTGTGTACAGCCTTAGAAAAGCCTTTTAGAGTCAAAAGGTGCCTCTCATATATTCCACAGTATGGGTCAAGTTGAAAGGCAATGTGGGTGTTCCCACAGTGGCTCCAAGAGGCAGTTCTTTGGTCATAAGGGAGGTTGTCTTACTTATGTAGAAGTTTTGGAGAAGGGGAGCAGTTAGACTGGGAAAGCAACTACAGTTCTCCTGTGAGTTTTTCTCCTGGCTGCTTCCCAGCAATCCTCACTTGGGTGTGGGGTTTGTCAGACAGTATAGAAGACCCAAACAATCTGGACAGACTTTTTTTTTATTATAAAAATGATCCCTTGTTCATTGTGATCCTCTCTGCTAATCAATGCACAAGCAGCTTGACTTGAACAAAGAAAACAGCCTGTGGTTGGAAAAGAATCTTCCCCTTCCCCTCAAATCTCTGCTCAATTACAACTGGGCTCCAGCCAACTGTGTTTCCTGATTCAAATCTATTTCACTAATTTCTTATAATTAAGAATAGTTCAGTGAGGTTGGAGAACAAAGGCTGAATTCTTGCTGTTTTGAGAAACGCAATATAAATATTCTTCTTTTAAAACTGCGAAAATCCAGAGGTTGATTGCTGCTTTGAAAAACACTCTGATGGTTCCTTAAAAAGTGAAACGTAAATTTTAACTTTGACCCACAATTTCATCTGGCCCTGTCATTTCATGTCTAGGTATACACTCCAAACAAGGAAAAAGATGGACATGTCTGTGAGACATTTTCTTGATTACTGAGTAATATGGGAGGGCCCAGCCTATTGTGCATAACACCAACCCTGGGCATGTGGTCCTGGGTTGCATAAGAAGGTGTGTTGAGTACAGGCCAGAGGAGCAAGTCAGTAAGCAGCATTCTTCCAATGGTCTGTGCTTCAGTTCCTGCCTCCAGGTTCCTATTTGAGTTTCTGCCCTGGTTTGATGGCCTGTCACTTGGAATTTGTAAGATGAAATAAACCCTTTTCCTTCCTAAGTTGGATTTGGTCAGAGTTGTTTTACCACAGCAATAGAAACCTAATTAGAACAAGCTATGATGCAAAAGTCTTGGAAATGGACAGTGGGTATAAGTGAACAATATTGTACACCAAACACTACAAAATTGTATACCAAAATGGCTATAATGGGGAATTCTGTGATATATATTCACTTAACAGAGTTAAAATAAGAGCACCATTAAAAATCTCTAATCAAAACCAACGTCAGTATGAAATTTTTATACTAAGACATGGAATAAAAACCTGTAATCCTCTTAGCTCTTAGATTTAGATTTTGGAGATTTTTCTACTGCCAGATGATTCAGGCATTCTTAACCCTTTCAAGAGAACTTTTGAAATAATACAATTCCCCATCCAACTTTAGTCTCAAACAATGGACACAATTGGCCTAATGTATAATAATGGAGACTTCTGCTGTGAGCCAGTATTCCATGCTATGCAGGGAATCCTCACTCTGAGATAGTGTCTGCCTAAAAATAAAGTAAGCCAATGTCACATGATGTGGAAGCTACAGGAAGTCAGCCTGCTTGAATAACAACTTCCAAATGCCTTTGAGTTTCTATTTTAAATACGTTCATTATCCTAAGCAACTCCAAACTAGAAATCTGGTGTGGTCAATGGTGAGTTAGTTACACATGATACAGTAAATAACCCCACATTCATGCACATGGAAGGGATCCTAATTAAATTCACTGGGTTGTTTATAAAAAAAATAAATAAATAAAGACCAGAAAGTAGGAGGGGGGCGTGTTTGGAAACATTCCAGAAGGATAAGTGAGGGCAATGGAGGCTGAGTGTGATCAAAACACATTATGTATGTATATATGAAATTAGGAAAGAAAAAAAATGAATTTTCAGTGATGGACATCTGGGTACACAAACCTGACTTGATGGACCTTAACATATATGACAGAATGCTTGAAATCTGGTGGGGGAGGTATAGGGAGGTGTAGATGAGGGAGGGGTTATAAGATGATTAAAATGTTTTGCATGAAATGCAGAAAAAGTCAACAAAAACATACATTGAGTTAATTATTTTTTAAAAAATATGAAACAAAACTTGAAGTCCATTAGCCCAAACGGGAGTCTTTTTTAACCTACTTGATGAAGTAGTCACGCCCATCTCGGTTTGTCATCATCTCCCATCCATAGGGTGGCACCTGGTTCAAGCCCCAGGTTCCTGAGGGAGGTGGCCAGCCTGAAGACTTGGTCCTGTGGCTGGAAAAGAAAGAAAGAATCATCACACCTGACTCCTGGACATATTATCTGAGTTACTATACAAGGGCACATATTTTATTCCTCTAAACCATGACCTGCATGCTCAGTGGTAGGATAGTTGTAAAGAATGTTTTTGCACCCGATATCATGCTTGGCATTTCATATGTGCTATTATCACTGATTTTCCATAGAACTTTGATGGTGAAAATATAGTCGTACAGTTTACCGTAAGGAAACAATGGGTCAGTAATATTAAGTAACTTTCCTGTGGAAAGTTTTGAACAAAAGTTATTTATATGTTCTACCACCACAGGCATACCTGAGGCTAGCTATTTAGACAGTTTGGGCACATACATACATTTCACACTGTCATATAAAGAAAGACACGTGAAGATAAATTATTTTCATTCTCATAAGAAATAAAGGTGAGCCACAATTTCCTGGATTGCAATAACCAAAATATTAAATGTACACTCATAGTAACCACACTCTAAGCAAAGTCAGCCAGTCGTAAAACTTTGGCAAACTCTTAGTGTTAATTTGCAAAAAAATATCCACACATGTGTCTTTTCTAATTTCAAGGCCCCAAAGTCAAATTGACTGTCAGTACAATGAAAGATTGATGAGCATTTTCTATACATCTTTCTTTCTAAAAGCAAAAACAAAACAAAGTAACTCTTCATGACAAGCCATTATGAAAGGCAGAATTGCATAGACACGGCTGCTAACTGGAGATCTGAAGCCAGTTTCTGGAACTATCACCAAATCTGGCTTTTGCTCTTCATCCCTCTCTTTCCATTAATGCCCAAAACTTCTTCAGTGCTTACTCACACTGTTGAGAGGAAGCAAAGCCTATCATTTTAATCTCAGTCCACATCACCTGTCACTTGGTTCCGTAGCGCCAGGAGAAGTGACTCACTGCATAGCTAGTCTCTAAGATTCCCCAGTGACTCCAAATCGCAGACTGTCACAGACCAAAGTTAACAGGGAGAAAGTAGGGATGACACTTGCAGGGGCCTCATAGCCACAGTCTCAACAACCACCAGGAAACCTTTTACACCAAAGAGGAAGTGTTCCCTCTGGTGAGAGGAACATAGGACACGCTGGCTAGTGCATGGGTGGGGGGCATGGATTGAGGTTGTTACCTGCCTCCTTGTTTGAACGACCCTCTTGCTCCAGATACAACTTGTACCGTCTAATGCGTGGTTTTTCATGCAGACTGTTGCCTTTTCGTGGCAAATATCCAAAGCAACTCCTCTCCTCATTGCCCTCGGCCCTATCAACACATCCATCTGACCACAGCTCAATATTTCTCATGAGATGCAAGCCCATTTCCTTTAACTTTTTTACAGCAGAGGAAATGTTTTTGAATAATTTAAACCTCCCTCCATTGCTTTGCTTTAACTTTCCTTCAGTTTTTCTCCTCCATCAAGAGCGGAGATCAAAAGCATTTGCAAATTTAATATATGTCTCATAAATTTAGACTGCCACTATAGGACTATTTGTCACTCATTGACTATTAAAAGCCATGGCCACCTCTTTTGTTCCTCTGGCTTATACAAAAGTCAGCAGTGGCAATTTCCCCTGGTGGTTTTGAAAAAAAAAAAGAAAAAAAAAAAAGCTATTTCCCCAGGGTGAGAAAACTCATGTACTTGCCACCCTGGGGCACTATTAAAAAACAAATAAAAAAAATCCCACAACAGTTTTCCCATGCCAGCAGGGAGAGCATTTGGAACGCTTTCTATGATGGGCCCAAGAAAACAAGTTCTTAGAAGCATGAATACCTGCAGTTTATTCTGTTATTTAAAACTTTTTCCCCAAACCATAGATGCTACACTTAAAAGTGACGCAAAGAATGTTCTTGCATTTGGAAAGAAGCTTATGAACAGAATGCTACAATTTATCATGAAATCCTAAACTATATACTGTATTCTAGTTAACCCCCTTGCTCAGAGGGGCAAAAACAAACTGTCTTTCTTTTCCTTTGTTTTCTCCACTCCCCTCACCACACAATCTGAAATACTAATCACTGATGGAAAGACACAGGCTTCTTAATATAATTTAAATGTAGAACACAGCATTCTAATGAGGAGCTGGAGGAAGCTTGGAATTTAGTTTGTTTTCTGAATTGTATTACATACTAAATTCTGTTCTGTGTAGTATGTTTAGAAGGTAGCAAACAACACTTCAGCAAGAGGTTTCTAAACAAAGTTTCTTTGCTTGAAATTGAAGACTAATACCCCCACCAGACTGGAAGGCCCCCCTCCACAGACTAATTGTGTTCCTCTAAGTCAAGGGGCATTAGTTGAGTAAAACAAATGATAGACTAATTAAGATCAGATATGACTATATATCTGCCTGTTAATGAGGTGACTTAAAATGTGTGGGTCTTAAAGACCTCAGTAGAACTGAGCAAATTAAAAGAACAAACAAACACAGACACTTTTAGAGTATTTATCCATGGCAGTCTTGAGAAAAATCAAAGACAAATGCCATAACTGGGGCGTGATTGGGCTCCCACTTCTCTGCAGTATAATGACTGAGAGGTTAACTTTAATAGATTGTTTAATTATAGGAGATGGTGGGTTCTCTCTGCTACCTGGTAAATGGCCCTAGAAACCACCTTTCCCTACTCTTACTACAAAAGATTCACCAGAGTCTGTAACTACTCCCAAACAACCCAATTCTAGCACTGTTGACACAACCTTTTCTACCCACTATATTTTATTTTGTGTTTTAATTCAGGGTCTCATTATATACCAGAGACTTTCTTGGAACTTACTATGTGTAGCCTAGGCCAATCTTGAACTCATAGCAGTCCTCCTGTCTCATCCTCCTGAGTGCTGGGATTACAGGTGTGAGCCATCATGCCTGACTCTACATAGAATGTTAAGAAATGGGTGGCCCTTTTAGAGCAGCAGTAGCCAAATTCAAGCATGAGCAGAGCCTCTGTCTGTCTTGCTTTCATACACCTTCTGATGTGGAAATTGTACTCATGTCATCAAGAGAAGGTCAGGCAGCTAGCGTGACACAGTGCAGAACTGACAATGTTCAGTGCAGAGATCCTCAGTTTGGGGCAACAATGCTCCACTTGGTCACCTGTGAGTGATTCGTGTCCTTCTTCCTTTGCCTTTTTTTTTTTTTTTGGAAGGAATCCATTCTGAGTTCTTGGGCACATTCCCATAGGCTGAGGTCATTTTAAAATTTCTCCCCTTTTAAATGACGTATTATTTTTCTTGTCCATGGGCCTATTCAGCCTCACCTCATGACTAGCTTGTGAACACTAAAGACTCTCTGAAGCAGGACTCTGGTATTTCTGCTGAACTGCCCAGTGTTGCAGAGTGTGGTATACCAGTTGGCCCTACTGTCATTATTTGCAGGGAAGTCCTCCAGCTTGGCACTGCCAAATGTAGGACACTTCATTAAGTTTGAAATTTCCATAAACAATTTTTATGCGGACAGACCTATATCTCATATAACAATACTTTGATAATGATTTGAGAACTGCCAGGTTACAAAAGAATATAGTCCTGGGGCTAGAGAGATGGCTCAGCAGTTAAGAGCACTGGCTGCTCTTGCAGAGGACCTGGATTCAATTCCCAGCACCCACGTGGCAGGTAGCAATCATTCCTATCTTCAATTCCAGGGGACCTGATGCCCTCTACTGACCTCTGTGAGCATTGCACGAAACAGGTACACTTATATTCATGCAGGCAATATACTCATTCACATAAAATAAAAATAATAAAATATTTTAAAAGCCAATATACTTGTTGCATTTATTTTCTATAATGAGCAAGTTACTTGACCTGTCTACCCTCCTTAGGACCTGTTAATCCTCTGTAAAATGATAGTAATGGGTATAAAGCCATTGGGAGAATACTAACGGTGGTTAGTCAGCAGGATAGTATGATGCTTGCCCACAGTATAGTGAAAGCCATATAATGGACGCTGGGTGGTTGTACATGTACAAAAGACTTCGGCCCTTCCTCCCAATAGAAAGAGAATGAGAAGCTCAATCACTTTTGCTTCTCAGTCTGGCAAGAGAAAGAAGGGGTTGAACCAAGCAGTGACGCTTTTCCATAAGGTTAAAGTTGATGAGCTCAACTACTTCCAAGGCAGAAGGAAAGATCCAGAAATTTTCTATCAGAAATGTTTTGATCTATGGTTCAAGGGGCCAGTTTCTGCTTTTCTCAGGCAAAGCTTTGAGTGTCCTTCAAGTTCTAATGTTGTGCAACTCCTATCTGAGACCACGGCTGTGTGAACCACTTTGAAACACTTACCTCAGCCTTAAAAATAGCGACCTACATCGTTGGGGCTATTTAAATCACTCTAGAAACTCCCAAAGACTGACTGAACTGATTTGCAACTTTGAGCTTCACTCATCCATTGTTTGCAAGAGACTGAAACTATCCATGGACAAAAAAGATTTTGATGTGAAATGAAAACATCTATGAATGGGGAAAGCAAACACTGCAGAACTATTTGTGTTGAGATGACTGATGGAGGAAATTCGTGTTTTCCTTCTGTGTTCCTGTCTCTCAGTGCTTCAGCAAACCTCCAGAACCAGTCCATCCTAGTCCATCACCAGCAAATATCTATAATGATCTGTGCTTCCTTAGAACAACTTAGCATCTGAAAGAGGGATGCTGGAGGGCATGAAAGGGACTCTAAAATCAGATTACAAAGTCCTAAGTCAGATAGAGTCAATTTCTGCCACTTAATATATGTATGACCCTTGTTAAATTCAATTCTACTTCTCTTTCCTCATCTGTATGAGTGAGTTATTTTGAGTCAATGTTTCTTACACAGGGATTTTATCTGTAAAAGAATTCAGCAGTTACTGGAGACATTTTTGCTCATCATACATAGGGAAAGGGTGATATTTTCTTCTGAGATGTCGTGGCTAAAGGTCAGGCATGCTGCTCAATAAGCTACTCTCTTGGAAAATAAGAATGATCCAGGCAAAATGGCAATAGTGCCTCAAAGTAGTGGCAGTC